TAAGTAATTATCCTGATAAATCTCCTACCCGCCTGACACCATGCACAGTTATTACACTATTACTGGCTGGATTCCCTGTGCTGGACTTTACATCCCTGTGACTGTCCTGTATGTAACCACCTCAATCCCTTCACCTTTGTCACCCAGCCCCCGCCCCTACTCCTGCCATCTGACAACCTTCAAAACGTTCTCTGTATTTGTGAGTCTGTTTCTGTTCTGCTTGTTCATTTATTTTGGTTTTTCTTAGATTCAGTTGTTGTTAGATATGTATTTTTGCCATTTTATTGTTCATATTTTTGATACATGTTTTTCTTCTTAAAGAGGCCCTTTAACATTTCATCAATTCTGGTTTGGTGGTGATGAACTCTGGCTTTTTCTTGTCTGGGAAGCACTTTATCTGCCCTTTGATTCTGAATAATAATGTGGCTTGGTAGAGTAATCTTGGTTGTACATCCTTGGTTTTTGTCACTTTGAATATTTCTTACAAGTATCTTCTGGTCTAAAATGTTCCTGTTGAGAAGCCAGCTGACAGTCTTATGGGAGCTCCCTTGTAGGTAACTGTTTTCTCTTGTTGCTTTTAAGAGTCTCTCTTTGTCTCTAACCTTTTGCATTTTAATTATGCTGTGTCTTGGAGTGGGCCTCTTTGGGTTCATCTGGCTGGGACTCTGTGTTCCTGGGCTTGCACATCTATTTCCTTCACCAAATTGGGAAAGCTTTCTGTCATTATTTTTTCAAATATGTTTTTAATCTCTTGCTCTCTCTTCTCCTTCTGGCATCCCCATGATGTGAGTGCTGGTATACCTGAAGTTGTCTCAGAGACTCCTTACACTATCCCCATTTTTTTTATTCTTTTTTTTCCTTCTCTGAATGGGTGCTCCTTATATTCCAAATTGCTGATTTGATTCTAGGCTTCATCCACTCTACTGTTGATACCCTGTAAATATTCTTCATTTCATTTCAGTTAGTGTATCCTTCATTTCTGACTGGTCCTTTTTTTATGCTGTTGACGTTCTATGTTCACTGAGCATCCTTATAACCAGTGTTTTGAATTCTGCATCTAGTAGATTGCTTTTGGTTCTATTTTGTTTAGTTCTGTTTCTGGAGTTTTGTTCAGTTCTTTCATGTTTCTTTGCCTCATTTTGGCTGCCTTCTTGGGTATGTTTTTATGTATTAGTAGAGCTGCTGCATCTCCCAGGCTTGGTAGTGTGGCCTAATGTACCAGGTGTCCAGTAGGGTCCAGTGGTACAGCCTCCCGATCACCCAGGCTGGGGACTTGAGGGATGCATCGCCCCCACCCCCCATATGGGGTGTGTACATCCTGTTGTTGTATTTGAGCCTTGATTGCTATGTCAATGGGAGAAATTGCCCCCAGGCTGAATGGCTGCAAGGCCTGGCTGTGACCACCAACCACCGAGGAGAATCAGCTGAGCAGGGGCTCATGCTACAGAACAGAAATTACTTCAGTGGCACTCTTGTGCCTGCTGTGTTTGCCCCAATTGTATCACTTGTGGAGGTAGTTGGGCAGTGCTTCAATATGGTCAGAGGCTGTCTACTGGGTGTGCTAACACTGGGTCCTCCTGGGAGGTGCAGGCCAAAGTTGGCCCTGCCTGTGTTTTGCCTGGGGTCATCCAGCATGAGCTATAAAGTGATCCGCAGATGGCTACCACTTGTGTGGGCTTGGAGGTGCCCAGGTAAAACCAAGCTGTGAACCAAGGCTGGCTACTGTTAGTGCCAGGTCTGGGGCCACTTAGTGAGAGGTATGGGGCTCACTGAGGCCAGATGCTGTTTGTTTGAGAGATTTTAGGAAAATCAGGAACATGAGCCAAGATAGGCCTTTCATGTGGAAAAGCCACTGGAAACAGCCTGAGTGGGCCCACAAGCTGGGTGGTTCTGGGTCTCAGGGTCACCAGGTGAGGGCAAACAGTGTGAGCCAGGTTGATGGAGTCTCTGAAATGGTGCCTGCCTGCCAGCTCTGTGGGGGAGGGCTCAGCAGAGAAGCAGTGGCCCGTCAGGACTTCTGTCTGGGAGAAAGCTGTCCCCGCAGATCTTGCCCTGATGCCAGACAGTCCAGTTCCTTCCCATATGTCTTTGGTGCCTTTTAAGCTGCTGCCCAGCATTTGAGCTTAGAGGGAGTAAGTCTGAGTAAGTCCATGTGCAGGCCCTTTAAGAGGAACTGCCTGGGACTCCAGAAGCCCTCCTTCTCAGCCTCAACTGTTGGTTTTTATAGCCAGAAGTTAGGACAACTTCTCTTCTTAGCACTGGAACCCTGGGCTGGGGGCCTATTGTATGGCTGGGACCCCTTGCTCCCCAGGGGGGACATGTGCAGCTGAGCTATCCCTTCCAATTTCTGTCTGCCACACATGGGTGCGGGACCAGTCCTTTCCACCCCTTCTATCAGTCTTGATGTGACTGCTTCTTCAATTCCCTAACTGTAGGACTTCCATTCAGCTCAATTTCTGGAGGTTCTGAATAATAGCTGTTCTGTAGTTTAGTTGTAATTTTGATGTGGTTGTGTGAGGAGGTGAGCACCACATTTACCTACGCCACCATCTTGACTGGAAGTCTTGCCAGTTTTTAGAGATCATGTTGGAGTCTTCCAGCCATGCCATGACCTCTCTCCAAGGTTGTGGGTCAGCTGGACTCCCAGTGCAGGCCCAGTCCACTCTGAATTTATCCTGAGTACTCACTGATCACTGCTGAGGCAGGGTCAGCATTCCACTCTGGGGATAACGTGGCTCACGAGACCCACACAGTAGTGACCCTCATGGAGCTTGCAGTCCACCGATATAGACAAAGGCACCGTGGGCTTCTTGCACACAGGATATAGTCAGCAGGGCTCCCTGGGGGGCACCATGGATGCTGAGAGCTAATGCAGCAGGGGAAGCCAGACCCTAGAGATGTGGGAGGGAGAGCTGGGGCAGAGGCCCTGCTGTGGGAATGCAGGAGAACACCAGAGCTGAATTACCCAGGCCATGGATGATCTGCATGTTATTTTTACTGCAATGGGAAGCCAGGGGCCAGGGGCCAGGCAGGGATGACTTGGTTTGACTCTCACTCTGACAAGATTTCCACGACGCTGTGCAGAGGAAGGCCACTGTGCACAGTACAGAGACAGGAGGGCAAAGGGGGCCGACCCAGGCTGTGTGTGCTACTGGACTGCACAGGGAGATGGCAGTGCTAGGGAGGACAGGTAGTAAACTAAGGCAGAGAGGAGCAGGCAGCTATGCCTCACCCACTGACTTAGTGGTCCTGAGCCTGGTCCAGTAAGATTGCCGGGGGTTCTGAACATCACAAGCAGGGATAGTGCAAGTAGAGAGGGGAGTTGAGACTCTGTGCTGGGAAAGGGAGCCTCTGTAGCAGTTTCACCAAGACAAAGGGCCTTTACTAACAGAGAAGGAAAGTCTTTATAGCTGTACCTTATTCCCAAGGTATAGAAGGGGAAGAAGGAGGGGGAACCTAGAAGCTGACTAAGGTATATAACCCCTGAACCCCAATAGTTGGCACACTCAATTAGCTGAGTGCCCACTTGTAGCCTCGACTCAAGTGTATAGAACAAACTTACTAACAACTTTATTTCCCTATACATGGGGCATTCAGATTAGTCAAAGTCTACCTGTAGTTTTGCACCTGTGTGTTTCATAAATAAGCTTGCTATCTCATTTGCACTATACGTGTTTGTCTCTTGCTTGAATCAATTTCTTGTAGGCGAGGCAGAACTGAGGAACAAGCTCGGGGCAGGAAGTAGCGGGGAACTTGGGTCTCTCCCTGGTAACATCAGGATACAATCAAAAATGCCTCCTAGGTTTCTGGCTTGTCCAAGTGGGAAGAGGGAGACTGCATTACTGAGCTAGGGATGGGCAGGGAAACCAGAACTCGGCACTAAGATAGCAAGAAGCTTCCTGGAAAGGGCCAGGATGGTTGGTCAGGACAGCTGGGTTGGTTTCTTGGTTCAGCCACTCACCAGCCTCGGCACCCCTGTGATGCCTAGGCTCAAATGCCCAAACCTGGATAGCTGCGGCGATTACAGGGTACCAAAGGTAGGAGGCAGCATGGCTGCCCATGCCCATATTCTTGCCTCAGGACATAGACTGGCACCTCTGGACAGTCACCTGGCCCAGACTGCATGCTCAGGCTGAGATGTGAGCGCTGTCCTGGCTGTGCACAGGCCCTAAGGGTGCCGGGCACCCCTAGGGGTCAGGCTCTCTCCAGCCCTCTGCCCTCCCCTAGCCTCACCACTCCTATGTGCTGCCCCTCATGCACCAGGGCTCTTTTTTCCCTCCCAGACAGACCATGTGCACTCCATGAGCTAGCACGCTGCTGCTGTGGGTCTCACAGAAGCCCAGGAGGTGAGAACCAGGCTCGGGGACAGGCCATGCTGGACGTGGCCACATCTGAGCACTGCTACCACTCCACCTCTCCACAGCCTCATCCCACCCCAGAAACCCATCTTGCATCTGGGCAGCAGCATTTGCTCCCATGTCCCGAGCGTAGGTTGTGCTTCATTATATGGAACAAGCTTGCCCACTCTGGCCTCTGTCTTTGAAGGCAGGAAGATAATACATCCCAGGTCCTGAAGGGGACTCAGTAATACCAGCCCGGGTCTGGGTGAGGCCCACCTCCTCAGGGACACTGGTCAGCCTCCTGCCTGGAACTCACCAGAAGGGACTCTGACAGTGGCTTTGTCTACAAACTGGAAGCCAGGGATGCAAGCTTGGGGGCCAGACAGGCCTTGTCCTCTGTGCCTGAATCCCAGGGAGGTGGTGCCATCCCTTTCCGAGGTCACAAGGACTCCTCTGCTGATAGGAGTTTGATGGCCCTGACAGGGAAGGGATGGCAGGTTGTGGCATGGGGCCTTAGCAGAATTCCATGTGCGTTCAGACACAAGTCTCCAGAGTCTTAACAGACCCCAGCAACCCCTGCACTGGCCACCCCTGCACCACAGCAGCCCCGGGCTCTTACAGCGAGCTGACTGGTAGGCAGCACAGCCTGGGTGGGCTTACCAGTGTGAGCGCAGGACGTTTAGGAGCAAGATGACCCCACCTAGCACGTAGCAGGCCAGGTAGGGGGAGCCCATGGCTTGGCTCAGCTTTCGGGTTTTCTGTTCCCATCTTGCAACCTGAATGGGGAAGAGAAGAAGGCATGTGAGGTGTGTGTTGGGAGAAACCTGAAGTGAGGGGGGCAGTGCTCCCAGGCCCTGAGGCTCTGAGGCTGAGGAGGGAACAGGACAGGGAGCACCTGCCCTGTGGACCCATTCAGCTCTGCGGGGATCCCCACATGTCCTCAGTCCTGTCTGGGTAGACCACGCTGCACCCTCTTCCAGCAGACACACCCCAAGCACGTCATGAAGCAGAAAGAGACCTGGCAGCACAGGAGGTGCCCTAAGCCAGCAAAGGTGCCCCTCTGAGGGAGGGCCACAGCGTACAGCCCCAACACCTGCAGTGGACTCAAGGGAGGAGTAGGGGTGCAGCAGGGTAGAGGCTGCTGAGAACAGATGGAAGGCTCTGTCGAAGGAGCCTGAGGACCACCCAGCCCCGAGCCCTGAGCCCAGCTCGAGGGCTGCTCTTGCACAATGTCCCCCTACCAGGGCAGGGCCAAGAAGGGGTGGCCCACATCCTCACGCCTGCTTCCCCAGTGCCTCCAAGGCACAGACTTTCAAGCTCTCAATTTTAGTTTAATTTCATAATCATAAACTTAACTCTGCAAAACAGTTAGACTTGGAAGGGGTAAGGAAAACACGGAACTCAATGAACTGCATTGAGAGCATGAAGATTATAGAACATTCCTAGCAGATGGGGGTGAAGGGGTGCTCTCTGGAGCTGCAGAAGGAATGGTCTGGTGGCTAAGATGAAACACGAGTCAAAGTTATTAGAGTTGTCCACAGTCAATAATGATGATCTTCTGGCTGGTCCTGCCATTGCTGGACCTGTAGCACTCCATGGCTGGTACAACCTCTGTGTGTCCTTCACCTGGCAGAAGACCACACGCTTGCCGCCCAGCCCCTCGGTCTTGGCTGTGCAGATGAAACACTGGGAACCGTCTGTGCTGGGTCCGGCATTAGCCATGGACAAGATGCCAGGACCTGTGCACTTCAGGACGAAATTCTCATCACATTTCTCCCCATAGATGGACTTGCCCCTGTGTCATTGTGGCATGTGAAGTCACCAGCCTGGCACATAAGTCCTGAAATAATTCTGTGAAAGCAGTAGCCTTTATAACCACATCCTTTCTCCCCAGTGCTCAGAGCATGAAAGTTTTCTGCTGTCTCTGGAACTTTGCTGCAAACAGCTCGAAGGAGACACAGCCCAAGGGCTCACTGTTCGGCAGCGATGTTGAAGAACACAGAGGGGTTGGCCATGGCTGGGCGCTGGAAGGTCTGAGGCAACGGCAAGCGGCAGTGGCAGAGGCATCTGTGAGGTGGGTCATTTTTTAGTTTATTTTTAAACTAATCACACCTACAGTAAACCTTCAACAGCTAACAGTGAAGTGAAGTAAACAGACAGCTTTAATGAAGGCCCCTCCTGCCTCTGCTCATCTCTAACACCCCCACTGCCAGGCACCCAGGTCACTGCCAGTCTGCACCATGCACACTGGTGAATGACCAAGGAGAGACGGAGTGGGCGCATGAGGAGGGGCTGGAGAGAACACGGCTGGTAGACAAGGTAGCTGTGCTCTGTCCAGTACCCTTTTTCCTGGGTCACTACAGGAGGCCTGGATCTGGGGTCTATGTGCCTCCATCATGGCCTCAGCACCAATTCTGCCAGCTACCTGCTTGGCTTCCCCAATGCACCTGCCTTGCTCCTTCAATCAGCGGGAGAGCAATTAGCAGCTCCAGGTTAGCCCATGATTTTGCCCCAGAGGCAGCTCTGGCGCCTGTCCTCAGATTTCCCGGTATGTGACAGGTGGGGAGAGGTTTCCAGGCTGAAGGTGTCCAGGAGAAGTGAGTGAGGTGATCCTGGGCCTTGGCCCGGCTACCCAATTCCCCAGAAGGTAAATAAGTCCTTGGTTTGCGGGCTGTGGCATCTGCTCACCCTGTGGGCAGCTCGGGACTCACTCTGAGAGGGCAGGCTGAGGGCTCCAGGGCCCAGTGACCTCCAGGGCACACTGCAGGACCCAGGGTCACAGCCTTCATATTCTGGCCACTATGTTTTGTTTTTTAATTTTGAAATAAAATTTCAAAGTAGTGTTTAGCTGTATAACCACTACTATGGTCTAATCCAGAACATTTCCATCACGCCACATGGAAACCCTGGCCTGTCAGCTTCCACCCTCCAGCCCCTAATCCACTTTCTGTCTCTGTGGATCCACCTGTTCTGCAGGTTTCATGTAAACAGAAGCACACAATATGTGACTTTTGACTTTGGCTTCTTTTAACAGAATTTTTTTGAGGTTCGTCTGTGTTGTAGCACGTGTCAGCATTTCATTCCTTTTTATGACCGAGTAATAGTCCCTTGCATTAAAATAAGAAATTTTGTTTATCCACCCAGAAGTGGACAGACACTGCGGATGTTCTCCCTTTGGGCCGTCAGAAATGGTGCTGTGGTGCCCGCCCACGCGCAAGTGTCTGTGTGCTTCTCTGGGGAGCGTGTCTATCTCACCTACCACAGCACCGTCAGGCCGTTTCCCACTGCGGCCACACTGTTTTACGCTCCCATCAGCAGTGTGTGTAGGCACTGCGATCTCTCCATGCCCCGCCAACACTTGTTATTTTTCCATTTTCAAAAAATGCAGCCATTCTAGTGTGTGTAAAGTGTCAAGTCATGGCTTGGCTTCGCATTTCCCTCCTGACCAATGATGACACTGAACATCTTTGCATATACCTATTGCACATTCGAATATCTCCTTTAGAGAAAAATCTATTCAAGTCTTTTGCTCATTTTTGAAATTGTGTTGATTATCTTTTTGTTCTTTATATGTTCTGTAGATATTTATTGGATTTATGATTTACAAATTTTACTACTCTTATTCTGTGAGTAGTCTTTTCCCATTCTTTTTATTGTCCCTTGATGACAAAAGTTTTTTATTTTGGTGGGCCACGTTGTTTCAACCCAACTCAGCCAATCTTCCTCCAGGGCCTGCTGGTGTGGGCTTGGCACCGTGGGAGGTGCTCCAGAAATGGGCACACAGCCAGGTCTGCCTTCAGGGAGCTCAGAGTCTACCAGGACAACACGTGGAGCTGAGTTCCCATCTGTGTCCCCATGGCACACAAACCGGCCAAGCTGATCTGCATTAAATCAGGAGGGCGACTGGGTGGTCGCATTGCAGGATGGGCAGTACGGCCTGTGCAGGATTCCCCTTGAAGGTCCCCTGGGAGATGCAGCCACCCTCCAAAGCAGCTGAGCAGAGGAGTGAAGAGAGGCCCTTTCAGCAATCAGTGGGTCCAAGAAGAAGTCCAAAGAAAAATCAAAAGATACCTCGAGACAAAGGAAAATGGAAATACAACCATCAACATGTATGGAATTCAGCAAAAACAGTTGTGAGAGGGAAGTTCATAGCAATACAGGCCTACCTTAATTGACAAGGAAAACCTCAAACAAACAACCTAACTTTATACCTCAAGGAACTATTAAAAGAAGAACAAATAAAGTCTCAAGTTAGTAGAAGGAAGAAAATAAAAAAGATCAGAGCAAAATAATGAAATAGAGGTTAAGAGGACAATATGAAAGAACAGTGTTGGGGAGGAGTGGGTGGAGGTGGAAGAGGGAATAAGGGGAGTAAATGGAAATGGAAAACATACAATGCAAAATAAATCTTAAAAATGAAACAAAAAATCAATGACAGTACGAATTAGTTTTTGGAAAGGTAAACAAAATTGACAAACCTTTTGTTAGACTGATCAAGAAAAATAGAGGAGTTAAGTAAATAAAATAAAAATTAAAAGATGTTACATATCATACCACAGAAACACAAAGGATCATAAAAGACTACTATGAAATCTTATACGCCAACAGTTGTATGACCTAGAAGAAATGGATAAATTCCAAGAAACATACTACCTATCAACACTAAATCATGAAGAAATAGAAATCAGTAATAAAAAAAATTCAATTAACAAAAGTCCAGGACTAGATGGCTTCATTGGTAAATTCTACCAGATATTTAAATAATTAACACCAATCCTTCTCAAACTCTTCCAAAAAATAGAAGAGAAAGGAACCCTTCCAAACTAGTGTTACAAGGTCAACATACCAAAACCAGACAAGGAAACCACAAGAAAAGAAAATTTCAGGCCAATACCCCTGACTACCCTAGATGAGGAAATCCTGAACAAAGCACTAGCAAACAGGATTCAACTAAAGAAAATGGGGGGGGGGGGGAGCAATGCATCAGCTAAAGAAAATGTGGGTGGGGGGGCCTGTACATACACATAACATACACACATGTACAATGGAATATTATTCATCATAAAAAGATTGAATGCTGACATTTGTAACAACGTGAATGAAGCTTGAGGGCATGATGCTAAGTGAAATAATTTAGACAGAGAAAGACAAACACCTATGGCTTTACTCACATGTGGAATGTAACAACAGCAAAAAAAAAGGTTCATGGACACCGAGAGTAGGCTGGTGGTTGCCAGAGGCAGGGGGTTGTGGGAATGGGTGAAGGGGTCAGAAGGAACAACCTTCCAGTCATAAAATAAGTAAGTCCAGGCACTATACTGTATAGCACGGTGACTAAAGTTAATAAGACTATTGCATATTTCAATGTTGCTAAAAGAATAAATATTAAATGTTGTCATCATAAGGAAAAAGTTTCTGTAACTGTGTATGGTGATGAATGTTAACAAGATTTATTGTGGCGATCACTTCACAATATACCCAAATATTGAATCATTATGTTATATACCTGAAACTATAATGTTGTATGTCAATTATACCTCAACAACAAATTAATTTTTAAAAACCCAATACAATATAAGGATGGCACACCATAACCAAGTGGGACTGCTCCCAGGGATGCACGGGTAGGTCGACACCTGCAAACCAGTCGCTGTGCCACACCACACTCACAGAGGGAGGGGTAAAAAATCACTTGATCATCTCCACAGATGCAGAAAAAGCACTTGATAAAATTCAGCATCAATCTGTGGTAAAAACCTCAATGAAGGGGGTATAG